AGCAATTCCTCTGGTAACTTTAAGTTATTTACAATCACATGGCTGTGGTTGCAGCCGGTAAATTCGGAAAAAAAAAACAAAATAAATCCATCTGCTGGTAGTATAGAGATAAAGCAGGCCCATAGTATTATTTACTTTTGATACTTGTTTCACCATATATGTTTTAGTTATTATTGATATTATTTCACATTCTAAAATAAGTAAATAGTCTAATTATTATTTTGAATGGCCAAAAATAGCATCAAATTTGTATCACTTAGCGTTTTGATGTTTTTCCGCATTGTAAGAATGTATTGCCAGCGTTCATTTGACTTTCTCTTGTTTTAATTTTCCTCCGTTATTGTGTGAGTAGATGAAGCCAGCCGAGGCTGTCTGTCTGGCATTGCTTTGCTGATGACAAGCTGGTGTATCCCCCAAAGCCAATAAAGGCGTCCAAAACCAGACCTTTCTAGACATGTGATTGGCAGAAGTAGCTGGAATACACTGGAAATGTTCAGCCTGTTTTATGTCATTAAGATTTTTGGAAGTTTACACAAAGCAACCAAATATTTCAATAGGCTTCCATTCTTGATTCAATTATAGTTTTTGACTGGTCTTAAAATGTTCAAAACACATGGGAATGCATCATACAATCCATGTAACTATTTACTATATTAATCCTGGCTTAAAGCTGGGATACTTAACTTTTAAACCACACACATTATAATGAACTAGTTCATGGAGATCACATGCATGTCTTTTTGGCCTCTGTCAGTTATTTCAATCAGCTTTATAACAGAGTGAGAAAGGACCCCCTCACAAGGCTCTTTCTCACAAGAATGAACATTAAAACTTTTTATAGATGGAGACAGCATGTAGTTGTTGGCTTTGTTCACAAAATTTTTCGTTTCTACAAATACAATGTATTATTTATGTGAGAAGAAAGTTAGGTACCCCAGCTTTGAGGCCTCATGTGCCAATGGAACAAGAAGCGTTCAAGGACATTGACGTTGTTTGTCATAGCAGGCTATAAATGAGAATTTTGAGTAAAGCCTTTTTGCTTGATGTATGTGATGCAAATCTTGTATTAAGACAGTCAAACTCCGATCAGAGTGAAAATGTCATTCCTCATACTCCTAATAACTTGTTGTTAAAGATGTGTGGTAAATGCATTTTCGAATGATCAACAGGTGCAGCATCCTGCCGCTTCTGTGATCCAGAGGTGTTTTGTTGCCTCGGCGAGAGCACGGACAAAGTCATATTGTAATCTTGAGCAGAGAGGCGGTTTCTATAGCAACATCTAACCCAGAAGCCTTTGCTGAAATCTGAAATTGGCGAGAAGAAGGACTGGTACTGAGAATAGAGAGAGATTGGGGGAAAGATTAAGATAAAACAGGCCAGTAAGACGCGGCGGGCGGAATAGGTGCGTGCAGATAGCAGTTTGGGGAAGGATGGGGCTAAAAGATGGATGTTATTGGAGGCGATCACATGACCCCTGCGTTTGTCTCTTGTTGGTGTATGGAAGTCCACTCAGCATGACAGATTTAATTTACTGATAGCGTCGTGTGTCAGGAGGATTTTTTCAGGCTGTGTCACTGTAAGCGGCGGTGTTAGCTGTTGTAATGGTTTTGTTTGTTTGCTCGCAATGGCGATTCTAGGATAATTGCGGTCTTGTCTGATGGGGGATCATTATGCGCGGCTCTGGCCTTGTAAAGACCTGTGAGCGACTGTAGCAGATGGAGCCGTCACCCCGGGGTCCGCACAGTGTCAGCGCAGCCTGGAACCTCCACTCAGACCTGCTGTCTCAGTCAATGTGAGGTCACCAGGAATGTTTTGTTTTCAAAGGTACCAGTTTTGTCGGTCACTTGTTGTAGAATTGTGGTTGGTGTTGTGTATTGATCGATAAAGCCCCTTGTACCAACCATTTACAACATTGTTTTTGTAGCTGGAGTAATTTGATAGTGACTTATAGTGACTCACACTGTTTTAGTCTGTATTAGTCAATTTAAATATTTATTTTGAATATATAGAGGTATAGCCACTTGTATAGATGATTCTATTGTTTGGATCAGATATGTAGCTGTACCAACTTAATCAAGGGCGACATGAAACCGAAAATTAAAGTTAAAAATTCATAATTCTTCTGTAAATGTACCAGAACTAGCCTAAACTGAATGTGCAGGACAATACTCAATACTAAAACTTAATGTAAATAATTTTTCAACAAGCTATTTTTTTGGAAATGTAAATTGATTTATGTTATTGAAAAAATACAACTTTTCGCGATTTTTTAAATTTTGACTAGGCTGTAATGCAGGGATCGTCTGGATAAGTTAGGGGCTCCTGATCAATCCTCCCGGCACTCTCTCCACATTTCTTCTGCAGAGTCACATGCTATTTTTAGCTCCACTGCACCCACCAGCATCATCACCCATCCCATCTATTACTTTGAATCAGACCCTTCATCTTCCCCTTCACAGTGACCCAGCGTAACCCTTACCAATCCACTCATCCTTGTGATTCTGCAACGCTTTAGCTGGAGTGAGATCATACACGGCCATTTTATTAGGTACATCTCTTAGGCTTTTGGATGATGCCAGCCGTCAATCATCCACAGGCCGCCAGACGAAGAGCACGGATGCACATGTCACAATGAGGAATAGTTTATGGCGCGCACCAAGTCTAATGTTTACTCTGAACATTATTGTATTTGTTGTTATTATCTCTTGGCAGACAAACTACTCCAAAGCATATTCAAACCTATTCCTTCAGTCAAAAATCCCAATCCAAATTACTATACAGCGCAAATTATTTTAAACAAGTGATCGTGTGGACTTCAATGAGTTACAACCAATCAAACAAATTGTATATGAATGAATAGAAATATTTAGTGAAATAAACAATATGTATTCACTATATGTCTGCCATGGCTAATGGAAATGTGTTCTGACTGCTTCATTGTTGGATGTGGACCATCAAAAGGGTCACAATACATGCAAAACACATTGAAAGATTGTCATTATCTCACTAAATCTGCATAAAATTAAACAAATTTGAATGTAGGCTGGAGTTATTAACTGTCTTGAAAGATCTTGTAATAAAAACACCTTCAAATTACTGGAAAATAAGATAGAATCACATTCAGGTGTCGCTCATAGATATTCAAGTGTTGGCACATGAACCACACACAATATTAGACCATCAGTGTTACATTTCTCCTGAATTACATAGTCTTATTTTCTATCAGACCTTATGCATGGGATTGTATTATCACCCTATAGCCTCACAGCCCTCAGTGCTCTTGTGTACGCTGCGGTCAGTGCGATGCCCTTGAGGAGAGCTGCACATGGTAATGAAGCAACCTCAGAGCGTGCTCTCCGTGTGGGCCGGTACCCCCGCCCCTCTGCCTGCCTCCTCCAGGACAGATAAGCACAGTTCACAGAGGACAGCAAACAGGGCAAGCATACAGCAGCAGCAGGCCACACAGGCCACTGAACCCAGAGAGAAATGTGCCGGGGAAGGAATTCTGCAGCTTTCTGTTGAGCCCAATGTTTCTAAAACAGTGGTGCGAGTACTAGAGTTGGGGCTGCAAATAAACATGAGTCTAGTTATTATTATTCAGTTGTTTGGATGTTGATAAGGATGAGATGTTTTTCCCGAAATTTGATTGAGAACAGATTGAGCTATTGAGTTATTGAACGTAATATGACTTTATTTCATTGATCACGATTTCTCATCAAAGCTGTAAATTTCTATAATTTTTGGTTTTTGTTTTGCACTCATCCTGATATAGTTTAGATAAAGAGTTTTTGATAATTATTTGATGGGATTGATAAGCTTGCCCTTCTCAAGTCACCTTGTTCAGATAGATAGTAAAACACTTCAAATGGTTTATGAAAGTCTGTGTCCTGATTTTGTCCTTGATTCAATCACAATAACTGCTTTCTGAGTTCTTAATTCATTCTTGCTACACTTAAGGTGTTCCTACGGTAGTTCAGGTTCTGATATTGTTCTATTTTGGATATGTTTCAAATTAAGAAGGTATTTCTCAAACTCAAAATCCAGATGTTCAAAAATGTACATTTTGGCCACAGCCTTCATCAGTTTGTTGTACTTCGGTTTTTTTTCTTGATCCAAAGAAAATAGAAAAAACTTGATCAGAGGAAGGCTATAATTACCGAAATGTCATATACATATATAAAGTATATAAACATTTGCATCTGCATTTTGATGCTTTTCTCACTTTTGAAATGTCCTGGTCCTTTTTGCATGTGGGGATTGCATCAGGTTTTCTTTTGGTGTGCAATTAGGATTCTGTTTTGGATAAAGCCAAATACAATTAAATGTACAATATCAAGCTGTTTCTGGTGGAGCCTGTCACCTGCTTGTCTCCATGGAGATGATACATTTTTGGAAAGCAAAAATAATCCACCAGAAATGAAAATACACAGTGGACCTTAAACTGAAACTGTAAAACTAAATATTTCTTCTGTTGAGTTCAAAGCTCAACGTTCAAAAGCAAAAAACAGAACGCACTGTGCAACAATGACATTAATTTGAATTCTTTGCTTTTCCACTATGTTCTGTCATCCTTCGCCACCTAGGCCCAACACACATGCAGCCAGCCGAGACTGATAAGCCTTCTGTGAGCGAGTAATATATTTTCTTCCAGTTTCCTCTTTCACACTTTGCAAGCCACATTTCTCCATAACATCGTGCCTCAGTAAAAACACAAATCATTTTTTTCCAGACTGCCATTTTTTGAATATGTTACTACAGTCTTGTAAAAACATGTTCTGTGCCGCTCATACTGCATCGCATCGGTCAAGCTGGTTACCTACTCGCCCCTTTGTGAGTCCCATTCACCATCACACTACTACTTCCTGTGTATGTGATGTTGATTATATTCTGTGCTAGAATATAACCGTGGCTCTCTCATGGAGTCGGGGGTTGATAGGTAAAAGTTGTTTCTGCTCTCATCACTTTTCTGTCTTCTTTTTTCGCTTTTCTTTTCCTCGCAGGAGAATGCCATTTCATACTACGATTCCAAAGCGGATTCTGACTATGTGAGTACAGTCAATGCAGACTTGCCTGAGCCCTAGTCTCCACCCTACACCCTTTAGTTTGCTCGAAATCCCTGAAAAACCTGCAACCTATACCTCGCCCCCTTATCCGCCCGGTCGATACCAGCTCCTGCCTTCTCCTGGGGGTTGTCTGTGTGCGTTAGTGAATGGATATCCGGTGAAATGGTGAGTTAATCTGACAGGGCAGGTGCATGTGACAGTAATTTGGGCTGTCCTCCCCCAGTCCCAGTTCAAATCCTGTTTCCGGATGTGCTCTGTATCCCCCCCACCCACACGCCCCTGAGTCCTGTCCCCGTGCTTTTGTGACAGCGACAGACTTGTGCTGAGTGGTGTCCCCCCGTGCACCCTGCAAAACAGCTGACATGAGTTTGGAAAAGGTGTGGAAAGGTTTTCTTTAATGAATGTCATGTTTTTGAACTGTTAACCCTGCTTGATGTCACACATGTATGTATGAAAATGTTTAGTTATTTTATTGTGTGAACTAATTTTCCTTCTTCCCATATTAGCAAATAATGATTGCGTGGAATTAGAAATGATGTGTTGAAAATGTTTAAAGCCTTCTGAAACAAGAACATTAATTGATGTTGATCAAGTAAGTAAAATAATAATTATTGATTTATGAAAAAAATTCGTAATAGATTTTGAATCATCTACAAACACTTGCAAAGCGCGCAAACCTCTGTAAGTAAGCTTTATTTATATACCGCCTTTCACAGACCAGAGTCACAAAGCGGTTTACAATTGTTATTTTTGGGCACTTGTCTCTCACTCCACACAGAGATGGGAGCGGGGTCGCCGAACAGGAGGCGCATGCCAGACCTATTGTACATATTTTTAGTGGTAGGGGAAACCCGAGTACCCGGAGGAAACCTACGCAGACAGAGAACATGCAAACTCCACTCAGAAAGGCCCTGGTCCGGCTGGGATTCGAACCCAGGACCTTCTTGCTGAGAGGCAAGAGTGCTATCCACTCAGCCACCGTGCTGCCCATGTGTCCTGATATACTGTTAAAGTATTACATACTATATTTATTTTTATTTTTTTTGTGGCCCAAATAATGTGCACAATACTTGTAGTTTTCTTGCACACAAGCCATTTTAAAACATAATTGTTTGCTAAAAACAGAGAAAATTACAACAAAAGCAGCCATTTTGAAATAAATCATAATATTTGACTTTTCCAGAGTTGTCCCAACAATATTAACTCATTAGTAGAGTTACCATGAAACTCATCAAATATGAAAAAAATGGAAAAGTAAAAGTTATTTCTTTGTCCCATTATTTGCAGATAAGGGCTGTAATTCCCCATTAAATAAAAACTCTACCCGGACAGCTTTATGCCCCATATTCACCTGCTGACGGATTAAGTCTGGAGGACCAAGCCAGATCGCCACTGTGCAGAGACCAGGAAAAACAATGCAGCCGAACGAGATAGAGATGGGAGAAGAGTGTGTACGAGAAGCCTGAGGAGCCATAAATCATGCTGTGATTTTCTCTTTGTGAACGCCACCGCTGTGATTAATGGCACAGCGCTTTAGGCCCCGTCACCACATCTAATTGGGGAACATCGGTCATCATTAACATGGGACAGTGAAGCCGGGACGGAGTCTTACCCCGATACCTCCCCTCAGAGACCCTCCGCTCACCTTAAGACTGCAGAGGTTAAAATCCTGCCTGAAATAATCACCTTAGCTCAACAAACAAGTGAAAATTACTTTTTTTTACATTAGCCACATCATAATGCTGTATTTTTATGAAGTAAATTGGACATTTGACCTTGTTTATAAATAGCAGCGTTAGGGCCGGGTATCATTTAGAGTTTGCTGATACTACACCAGGCGGCACAGTGGCAGAGTGGTTAGCCCTCGCTTCTCTGCAAGAAGCTTCAAGGTCTGAATCCCGGTAAATACAGGGCCTTCCTAAGTTTGCATGTTCTTCCTGTGTCCGCATAGATTTCCTCTGGGTGCTCCGGATTCCTCTGGGTGCTCTAGTTTTCATTACCACTAAAAACAAGTAAACTGTTGGTAAAATCTTCCATCTCCTTTATCCTTTATCCTTTATTAGAGATGGCATTGGAAGGATGGATAAAATGCTCAGGACAAACTTACTTTACAATAACCATATGGCTCTCAAAATATAGGTCACAATACAAAACCTAACTTTAAATTTTCGATGATTCGATGCAATATATTTACAGCGGATTTGATACAATTGAGTAAATAATAAAGGCTTTTGGTCCCTTATGTTGTGCTCCTGCTCAATTATAATAATAACATTGTTTATGAATTTACGTACATATATAAATTGAAGATTGATTGTTGATCTTCACAGCCTGTTTGCAATGTGTGGGCCAATGTGTGGGCCTGAATATTACAAACTATCAAAAATCTTGATATAGTTTTAGGGCCTTGATTCACTGATTTATCTCGAGGCAGTTACACATTGTTATAATACTTAAAGCATTTTTCATTCTCATATGTCTTTCAACTCTTGTGTGGTGTTCTCAGTGCCGTCTTCGGATTTAATATGGTCTATATTCTATAAAAACATGTACGGGCTGATAAGCAAAGATAATGCAACATGTAAATTAAATCCATGAGAAGCTTCCTTGGTAAATTAAACCTCTCAATGTCTTATTAACTTGAAATATTAAAACATCAATTATAATCTGATAAGGTGCTGTAATATTTCATGTTTAATCAAATCAAAGTTTATTACAAATACCCATAACCTTACCTCAAAAACAAAAATCATTTTATTGTGAGTGCATGTTTCATAATTGTAATTATAGCTATTTACTTGCTACTGTTTGGTTATATACAGGTCTATTCCAGCATCAAAATCTAACACTCGCCTTTGTGCGTTGTTGGATTGTCTACAAATTGGACATTAACATTCTCTTCGGGCGCTTGAGTATTTTTATTCCCAAAACTCAAAAGGTCAACCGATCTACGCCATGTCTTGCATAAAAGATGATAATATACGCTTGAATGAAAGTCTTTGTGGGAGGAAATGCAAATATTCAATGGTCTGCTTGATCCAGCTCTTTAATTGGACTGCTCGAAAAAATCCTGTCGCTCAAGTTACAGCGCGAGTGTTGGTTTAGTCTGAAGTGAGGGATGAAAGGCCTAAAAGAGCGATATTAAATCACGTCACTATGTCTTTGACTCAATGTCTGGAACGGCAATTTCTATATTATTATATCATCGATTTGAAACCATTGGGAAAATCTAGTGTGCCTTGAGCAAGTTTTTTGAAGACGTGCCAGACAAAAAAGCCAAAATGTCGCGTATTAGGACTAAAAAAACTCATTTATTAGTTGCAGTTTTTTGTCAATAATCAAAAACTGATATCTATAATTTATTAATCGATGGCTGCTTTATACAGACGCAAACTCACTTAACTGCAACTTTTTTGCATCAAATAGACCAAAAATCAGTGGCAGAGTGGTTAGCACAATCTCCTCAGCAAGAATTTTGAAGGTCTGATTCCCGGTCGAAACAGGGGCTTCCTCAGTGGGGTTTGCATGTTCTCCCTGTGTCCATGTAGGTTTCCTCTGGATCCTCCGGGTTTTCATTACCACTAAAAACATGTGCAGTAGTGGCTAATATCCGGACAAACTTCCCTAAAGGGACAATAAATAATTCTTTAACCATAACAATACAGCTCTCAAACAACTAATACATCAATCGAAGGAATAATCTTCTTTTAATTATGTCATATTTTAGTTGTGCTTGAGAAGACACAAAATTGTAAGAACATTTGTTTATAGATGTTTTTAAATTTTGCTTTTGACTACATTTAGTGTCTTTCTACTTGATGGCCCTACATTATTTTACATTTCTGACCATTTTCAACACACCATTCATATTTCAATCCAGAACTTTTTGCAAATTAGGTAAGAAAAATGATTTAATATCAGAAATGAATTCTTGTTGACATTCTCTTTTACAGCTTTTACATGCACGTTGGTGCTCACAGCAAGAAGGACCTGGGTTCGATTCCACCTGAACACAGGGTCTCTCTGTGGCGTTTGCATATTATCCCAGGTGTCTGTGTAGGTTTCCTCCGGGTGCTGCAGTTTCTTCCACTACTGTGGGCTGGGACTCCCTCCCAGACTTTGCTGGTTAAATAAAGGCTAAATAAAGAATGGAAAAAATAATGACCGATATACATAACACGGTAGAATTGTGAATCTATTCTTACATATTATTTATATCAGAAATTCTTTCAAAGTAGTTAATAATCTGTTTATACATTCTAAATCATTACAAACCGAGACATAGTGCAGTGAAGGAAAGTCCCATTTTTATGGCGCCAGATTTACGCCAAAAGTCCACACGCTCAAATAACACATACACGCGCAGCTTTATTTAATTCACACGCGCGCAAACTACTCTCCACGCGCACATTTCACACCACACGCGCGCAGACTCAGTACCACGAGCAACAATACGCGCGTGTGTGCGCTCGTGACCTGCCCTCTCCCTTCTCGTGGTCTTTGTTCTGCGCGCGTTGAACACTTTTGCCATGTCTTCTACGCGCGCGTGAAATACTTTTGTCGCTTGGGGGCGGGGCCAGTGAAAGGTAAACAGCCCACTGGGTTTCTGGGCCACGTCACAGGCAAGTTGTATGTGCATAGCTGAGTGGCTAAAGAAGGAAGAACACTGGAAAACACTTTGTATCTGGTAAGTGTTTGTGTCCTACATTATCTAATAAGCAAAAGGTCCAATCCATAAGTAATCACTAGGTTACATGATGTCACTAGATGTAGTTATCATGATCAGTCAAGTTAAAGCAAGCTCAAACAGCTAAAATGCTAACCGGCAGTTAGCATTTTAGCTGTTTTGCTAAGTTAGCTAAGGAGGCTCCTTCGTTTTAGTCTGAGGAGAAACAGCTGTTCATGATTTAGCCTGTGTAGCCTTCTAGTCACAACAAAAGCACATAAATACTTTAGTGCTAAAGTATTCAGCTCTAAAACCA